TTTTAATCTAGTTGATCTGCTTTGCTTTAAAAAACAAAAAAAATTGCCGGACCTGGTAGCTCACGCCTGTAATCCCAGCACTCTGAGATGCTGAGGCTGGGGTGATCACAAGATCAGGATTTCAAGACCAGCCTGGCCAACTGGGGAAACTTCATCTCTGTAGTCCCCACTACTAGGGAGGCTGAGGTGGGAGAATCACTTGAGCCAGAGAGATTTTTGTATTTTTAGTAAAAATAAAAAAATTAGCCACACGTGGTGGCTCCCACCTGTAGTCCCAGCTACTTGGGAGGCTAAGGCAGGCGAATCTCTTGAACCCAGCAAGGCAGAGGTTGCAGTTAGCCAAGATGGCACCACTCGCACTCCAGCCTGGGCGACAGAGGGAGACTCAAAAAATAAATCTCAAAAAATAAACATCTCAAAAAAATAAAAATAAAATTGCCGGGCACAGTGGCTCACGCCTATAATCCCAGCACTTTGGGAGGCTGAGGCAGGTAGATCACGAGGTCAAGAGATCAAGACCATCCTGGTCAACATGGCGAAACCCCATCTCTACTAAAAATACAAAAATTAGCTAGGCATGGTGGCACACGCCTGTAGTCACAGCTACTCATGAGGCTGAGGCAAGAGAATTGCTTGAACCCAGGAGGCGGAGGTTGCGGTGAGCTGAGATCGCGCCATTGCACTCCAGCCTGGGTAACAAGAGTGAAACTCTGTCTCAAAAAAAAAAAAAATTATACTGGGTATATTAATGAGAATTATTATTGTCAGACAATAATAAAAGCAAAGATAACCTTAAGGAGTCTTGTTTTCTTAACTGAGAGAAACAAACTCTTTCTGTGAAAGGTCAGATAGCAAATATTTCAGGCTTGCAGGTCACTTGAGCTCTCTGTCACACATTCTTCTCTACTTTCTCCTCCTCCCAAAAAATGTAAAAGCCATTCTTAGCTCTTGTGCAATGGAAAAACAGGAGGTTGCATGCCAGCTTGGCCTGCCTAGCTAGGCAGCGGCTTTATGGATCCCTAGCTTATAGACAAGTAGACACTGACCAGCATACATTCTAGGACCCAACCCAGAACTGATGGGACTTCTTGATGAACTGACTCTATCTGGGGAGAAGGTAAGTTAAAGAGGAAATAAGAATGGTCTCATTGACTAGGCAGAAGGTGGTGCCATTTACTGAGATGAGGAAGAAGGAGATCCGGGAACAGGGTGGTGGAAGAGGGGAGAAGGGAAATCAAGAGTTAAGTATGAATTACCTATTAGTCATTCAAGTGGAAGATGTCAAGGAGGCAGCTCAATATAGACTCTGGAGTTTATGAGAGAGGTCAGGAGATCCACATTTGGGATAGGTCTACAGATACATTTAAAGTCATGGGGTTGGGCTGGGCGCAGTGGCTCAGGCCTGTAATCCCAGCACTTTGGGATGCCAAGGCGGGTGGATCACCTGAGGTCAGGAGTTTGAGACAGCCTGACCAATATGGTGAAACCCCATCTCTACTCAAAATACAAAAATTGGGCCAGGCACCATGGCTCACGCCTGTAATTCCAGCACTTTTTTTTTTTTTCTTTTTTTTGAGACAGAGTTTCGCTCACAACCTCTGCCTCCTAAGTTAAAGCAATTCTCCCGCCTCAGTCTCCTGAGTTGCTAGGATTACAGGTGCATACCACCATGCCCAGCTAATCTTGTATCTTTTTCTTTTTTCCTTAAAATTTTTTTTTTTCCACAGGCAATTTGAGACCATAATTTTGTACTTTTAGGTCAGATGGGGTTTCTTCATGTTGGTCAGGCTGGTCTCGAACTCCTGACCTCAGGTGATCCACCCACCTCGGCCTCTCAAAGTGCTGGGATTGGCCGGGCATAGTGGCTCACGCCTGTAATCTTAGCACTTTGGGAGGCTGAGGCAGGTGTATCACTTGAACCCAGGAGATTGAGACCAGCCCAGGCGACATGGTGAAACCCCCACTCTACAAAAAATAGAAAACTAGCCAAGCACAGTGGCAAGCAACTGTAGTCCCAGCTACTTGAGAAGCTAAGGCAGGAGAATTGCTTGAATCCGAGAGGTGGAGGTTGCAGCGAGCTTAGATCAAGCCACTGCACTCCAACCTAGTGACAGGAGTGAAACAATTGTCAAAGAAAGAAAGAATTTTTTTTTTTTTTTTTTTTTTTTTTTTTTTTTTTTTTTTTGGAGACAGGGTTTCACTCTTTTTGCCCAGCCTGGAGTGTGACGGCATGATCTCAGCTTACTGCAACCTCCACCTCCTGTGTCCAAGCAATTCTCCTGCCTCAGCCTCCTGAGTAGCTACGATTACAGCTGTGCGCCAACATCCCCAGCCATTTTTGTATTTTTAGTAGAGATGAGGTTTCTCCATGTTGGTCAGGCTGGTCTAGAACTCCCAACCTCAGATGATCTGCCTGCCTCAGCCTCCCAAGGCATTGGGATTACAGGCGTGAGCCACCGCGTCTGGCTAAAAGAAAGAAAATTTTAAAAAGAAAGGACTTGGCTTGGCACAGTGGCTCATGCTTCTATTCCCAGAACTTTGGGAGGCTGAGGCGGGTGGATCAGGAAGTCAGGAGTTCAAGATCAGCCTGACCAACATGCTGAAATCCCATCTCTACTAAAAATACAAAAATTAGCTGGGCATGGTGGCATGGGCCTGCAATCTCAGCTACTCAGGAGACTGAGGCAGGAGAATCACTTGAACCTGGGAGGCAGAGGTTGCAGTGAGCAGAGATCATGTCACTGCACTCCAGCCTGGGCAACACAGCAAAACTCCATCTCAAAAAAAAAAAAAAAAAAAAAAAAAAAAAAGAACTTGAGAGCTATAAATATTACAGAAGAGTAATTGCTTTGCATCTCAGTTTCTTCATCTGTAAAATAAGGAATAACAGTACCTTCCTGAGGAAAGCTCAGGCCCCCAGACTGCTTTTGTCACTTTTAAGCTATAGGATTTGGGGTACTGACCAAGATTCTCTCCTTGACCAAACTCTATCCAGGCCGTTCTGATCTGTCTTCTCAACTAGGCTCTGACTTTCAGACTTCCACGACTCGTCATCGTCCAGTTTTAGCAAGAATCCTGCTAAGTTAGTTTAGCCAGAATCTCCCCCTACTCCCAAATTTTCTCTAAGTAATTTTCCATCCACTAACCCTGATTATTGACTGACTGTAAATCCCTACTTTTTCTTGTATTTGGAATTGAGCCCGATCTCTCCCCTACTCCTACAAAACCCCATTGTTGTAGGCCCCTGTATTATGTATCTTGGCAGGCCCCCTTAAATAAAAGTTTGCCTTACAGTTCTTTAACAAGTGTTGAAGTATTTTATCTTTAACATTATTGGCCTCTCAGAACCTCAGTTTCCTCATCTGTAAAATGAACACATTGCCCAGATTATTTTACAGGGGTTTTTTAAATGTCAAAGGAGATCATTATATGTGAAAATATTTTAAATTGCATTATCTATTATGTAAACCTAAGACGGAAATTTAACAAAAACACAGTTTTTCATGGGTTGCAGATATCTTGCTATTGGTCAGCAGAGCCTCAGGAATGCAAGTAGACAGTGAATTAGATAACTGCTTATACTGATTCCCTGCCTTAGCAGGGAAAAGACCAATGCAAATGATCAGGATGTACTGTGTGCACTAGCAATCTTATCTTAGATCAGGGATACAATAATCAAACTAAATGTTCCTAAGTGGACACCTCATAAAATAATTACTGTATGGCATTTGTCAAAACTTTAAATGCTTTACAGCCCCTTTGTTTGTTCTTGTTTTGTTTGTGGGATTTCATTTCTAGGAAAATAATTCAATGGACTAAATTTTTTTAAAAATCATGTATATTATTAAGGGCAGACAGTCCATCTTCTGGATATCTCTGAAGATGCTCATTAAACATTAATCAAAGTAGGTAATGATCCCCAACATGGGCTACTCTGTCTTCCTTATTATTTTCCGCACTTGATCTTAGCCAAAAGGCCGAGAATCGATTCCATGTTTATTTTCATATATCTTTCATCTCTGATTACTTGATAGCATCCCAATAATAATTTGTTAAATCAATAAACGTGTGGATATACATGTATAGTATAGTGTCTGGCATACAGTAGGTACTCCATTGAATGAATGCATGAATTATTACCATGTCAATTTGCTTGTCTATTTGAAAATATTAATAGTTAATTTGATCCCTAAAGGATTTGTGCACTTACAATACACACATACTCACTTTCCCTGACAACACTTATTTGGTCAACCCTCAATTATGTTGATCTGAGACTGGACCGAAACATGTGGTTTTATTCAATTTAAATACCAAATTCAAATTTGGTTTGAATGTAGTCTGCCATAGAAGACGTTAAACGTTTGCAAAAAAAAAAAAAAAATTACCCTGCACATTGAGGAAGCCAGACAGTCACTCCAGCCCAAATACCCTGCTGGGGACATGAACTGGAGATCTTGCACGACACACATTCATCAGGTGACCTCTACGACTTCTTGTCTAAGGTACTGGTCCACACTCGCTAATAGCCAAGTTGAAATCTTTCCTCGAAATATTCTTCTCTAGTGCCTCAATGCCCCAGTTGTCATCAAGGTGTCAAAGGCGCTGCGGTTGTCCGGTCCCCGGAGACAGAGCCTCATTCCCCGCCCCCGCGCCTGGGCGGCCAGTGGGTGGGCCCAGCGAAGGGCCTTGTGGCTGTTTCCTATTGGGCCTTGGTTGCTATGGAGTCACTCGCCCTGAAACTCGTGGGTACATCTTCCGGAAGTTAAAGGATAATTACTTCCAGGGCTGCCCATACTTGCCATGGCCGACTCGGTAGTCATTAACTTTAATAAAAATAAAACTTTTGCAATAGTATTCTAGCAAAGCTTCTTAAACCCCTAAACTTGCGGTTTTGACATGGTGCCTATCCTTTCTTCCCTTTTCAAAAGATTCACTATAGATTCTTTCACGATTTGCCAGACTCCGAAATGGCGCGGACGGCATCAGTAGGTCAGAGGCGAGTCACGTGCGTCCTCCCGGTTCCGGCGCGGTAGAGGCCTGAGGTGGTGAGAGAGTCTCCAGCACCATGTCTGGTTTGTCTGGCCCACCAGCCCGGCGTGGCCCTTGTCCGCTGGCGTTGCTGCTTTTGTTCCTACTCGGCCCCAGCTTGGTCCTCGCCATCTCCTTCCATCTGCCCATTAACTCTCGCAAGTGCCTCCGTGAGGAGATCCACAAGGACCTGCTAGTGACGGGCGCGTATGAGATCTCCGACCAGTCTGGGGGCGCAGGCGGCCTGCGCAGCCACCTCAAGGTGCGGCACTGGGTGACTTGGGGCCGGGAGGGAAGACGGCAGGCGAAGGCGCGGGGAGGCCCGGGGTGTGGGGTGTCGGGCTGGAGGAGGCCTGGAAGTTGTTCTCGCCTGCCGGTGGAGCCCCCGCCCCCTCCGCCCGCTGGTTGCCATTCGCGGGGCGGGGCTGAGCACCCACGCCAGGGAGCGCAGAGAAGGGCTGCGAGGCCTTGGCGGATGTGGTGGCACCTGAGCGGAGGCGGTTGTTGTCAGAATCCTGTACCAGTTTTGGTCCCAAATACCTTGAACCGTCACTTGGTTCTCCAAAGAAGTCTTGGGTTGTTGAATGTTTATAGAGCTTGGCGTCCTAAGATACCGCGATACCTGCAGGAACGTAATGGGGACAAAGCTAACTGTGATGAATAAAATAATGTTATTTATTGAGCATCTGCTGTGTCAGTTCCTGTGCTACTTTGCATATATTACCATTTGGTTCAGGCACTACCCTATGAAGTAGGTAGGTACTGTTAGCCCCATCTTACAAATGAGGAATCAGAGAGGTGGGATAAACTAGTAAGTGTCACAGATGGACTTGATTCTTATTTAGTTTGGTAGTGAAGTATGTTGAGGGAAAAACGCTGCAACCTTCTTCTCTCCTCGTTTTAAATTTGTGATTTCTGTAGTTGATTAAAGTCGATGATTGGTTACAAAATAGTCTCAGTCTCTAATCCTTTTTCTTTGGTATGCCAGAATCTGTACTTGGCTGCTTTTATGTAAATATCAACTGTGCTCTTGCATGGTGACAACTACTATCGTAATGCCAGTTTGGTCCCATTTTGGAGCTAAGAATAGTCTGGCCTGGTCTTTGAGACATTAGTGTAATTTAATATCCGTCAGTATTTGGTTGCATTTTAGGTAATGTTACTCATTCACAATAAGCAAAGCGTCTTTTTTTTTTTCTTTGTATAGGGCTTTTCTTATATTAAATAGAAACATTTTTATTTATTTATTTATTTATTTATTTATTTATTTATTTATTTTAGAGACGGAGTTTCGTTCTTGTTATCCAGGCTGGAGTGCAATGGCGCGATCTCGGCTCACCGCAACCTCCATCTCCTGGGTTCAAGCAATTCTCCTGCCTCGGCCTCCCGAGTAGCTGGGACTACAGGCGTGCGCCACCATGTCCAGCTAATTTTTGGATTTTTAGTAGAGACGGGATTTCACCATGTTGACCAGTAAGGTCTCAATCTCTTGACCTCGTGATCCACCCGTCTGGGCCCCCCCAAAGTGCTGGGATTATAGGCCTGAGCCACTGCGCCTGGCCACATTTTTATTTTTTAATATAGTTTCAGATGTAATAAGACCATAACATATGTTAAAATAGTGGAACCTAGTAGGGTGGTAATACATGTAATTTATTTCTACTTTATTTAGGAGAGAGAAACTATTTTCTAGGCAGTTACTCTGTGACTCTGTTGTTCTCTTTGGGTTCCAAACTTCAGTTTACTTAGGAAAATCGTGATGGCATAATTTTAGAAGCTTAAATACAGTGTTTCCAGGGTGGGAGATCATGCTTCCTACTCTTCAGAGGATGTTCATGGAATCGTAATTTCACCAGTGAAAGAGACCTTGCTCTCATCTCCAGTGTTGCTGTCTGATTTGTTCTTATATTTTAAAGCCCTTCAGTGGCTCACTGTTGCTTGTTGACAGTTTGAATTTCTCAACATGCCCTGTTGTGCTCTTCATGATCTGCTCCTGAGCTATACATATGGTCACTTCCCACTTTGCATTCTACCTGGAGCCACCCTGAACAGTACCCTGAACTCACTTATTTTCTGAACTGCTTTTGTTTATGTTTTGTCTTACTTATTAGACTATTAGTATCCTCAGGGTAGGAACTATTCTCAGGTTCATCCTTTCTAGAATGCCAAACCTGTTACCTTGCTTCTAATAAGTTCTCAATAAATAACAGGAACCGTAGTTTAGCATGGCCTTATGGGAATTACATTGACTCTAGGGCTGCTGAAGGGACCACAACAGCAGGACTTTAGGCTGGGCACCATGGCTCACGCCTGTAATTCTGACACTTTGGGAGGTCAGATCACATGAGGTAAGGAGTTCGAGACCAGCCTGGCTAACAGAGTGAAACCCTGTCTCTACTAAAAATACAAAAATTAGCTGGACATGGTGGCACGTGCCTGTAATCCCAACCACGCCGGAGGCTGAGACAGGAGAATCGCTTGAACCCAGGAGGTGGAGGCTGCAGTGAGCTGAGACTACACCACTGCACTCCAGCCTGGGTGACAGAACAAGACTCCATCTCAAAAAAAACAAAACAGCAGGATCTACACCCTGCATTTTGCCATCACTCAGTTGCTCTCTTGTGTCTGCTCTGTTCTTTCGCTACTAACCTGCTTAGTGAAAGTACAGGGGTCCTAAACCCAAATGTCAAATAGGTAATATAATAGAAGGAATTGCACCAGGGGTGTGTGTGTATGTGTTTTATTTTTATATACATACACACACACACACACACACACACACATATATGTATTTTGTTGCACTTTAGGTTCTGGGGTACATGTGCAGAACATGCAGGATTGTTGCATAGGTACCTACATGGCAATGTGGTTTGCTGCCTCCATCCCCCTGTGGACCAGGTGTTTTTTAAAAGCAGCAGTGATGATAAATGGAATAATTGGATGTAGTGGAAATTGTTAATTAGAGGTGACCAATACTCAGTTCTTGATGAGACTTGCCATGCAAGCATGTAGGCTTTTTTTTTTTTTTTTTTACCACATCTGATTTTTTTTTTTTTGGAGATGGGAGTCTTACTCTGCCACCCAGACTAGAGTGCAATGGCACGATCACAGCTCACTGCAGCCTCAACCTCCCCAGGGCCCAGGTGATCCTCCTACCTCTGCCTCCTGAGTATCTGGGACTATAGGCACATGCCACCATGACCAGCTAGTTTTCATATTTTTTTTTTGTAGAGACACGGTTTTGCCACGTTACCCAAGCTGGTCTCGAACTCCTGGGCTCAAGTGATCTGCCCACCATGGCCTCACAAAGTGCTAGGATTACAGGCATGAACCACTGCACCCAGCCCGCATCTGATTTTTCAAATGAAATAGGAATGCCAGATTTTGAAGTGAAAGGTCCTGATTTTTATTTTTTTATTTTATTTTATTTATTTTTTGAGATGGAGTTTTGCTCTTGTTGCCCAGGCTGGAGTGCAATGGTGCGATCTCCACTCACTGTAGCCTCTACCTCTTGGCTTCAAGTGATTCTTCTGCCTCAGCCTCCCAGGTAGCTGGGATTACAGGTGCCCACCACCACCATGCTCAGCTAATTTTGTATTTTTTAGTAGAGATGGGGTTTCTCCATGTTGGCCAGACTGATCTCAAACTCCCAACCTCAGGTGATCCACCCACTTTGGCCTCCCAAAGCGTTGGGATTACAGGCATGAGCCACCATGCCTGGCCAGCTCCTGATTTTAAATTTCACCAACCAGCTTTCAGTGCTGTCTATAGAGCCTCAGAAATTCTGGCCCACCAGAGAACCGTGGATCTCATCGTCCTCACCGCTGCTTTGCCACTCCATTCCCCTCAATAAAATGATTTGGCCCCCTAAAAATTAAATAAAATAAATTTCACCAACCAATTCAAATTGGTTTTGGCATTGATTTGTTTTCAGTGTTACGAAGAGTAGTATAGTGAGTTCATCTTTATACCCATTACTCAGATTCAGCAATTAACAGGATCTTTCCACACGTGTCTTAACTGCTTTCACCATATCATTTCATGCTAAATTGTATTAAAGTAAATCACAGATCTCATGATATTTCAGTCCTGCATACTTCAGCATACATCTCTTTTTTTTTTTTTTTTTTTTTTTTTGAGATGGAGTTTAGCTCTTGTTACTCAGGCTGGAGTGCAGTGGTGCAATCTTGGCTCACCGCAACCTCCGCCTCCTGGGTTCAGGCAATTCTCCTGCCTCAGCCTCCTAAGTAGCTGGGATTACAGGCACGCGCCACCATGCCCAGCTAATTTTTTGTATTTTTAGTAGAGACGGGGTTTCACTATGTTGACCAGGATGGTCTCGATCTCTCGACCTCGTGATCCACCCGCCTCGGCCTCCCAAAGTGCTGGGATTACAGGCTTGAGCCACCGTGCCCAACCTATATCTCTTTATTTTTATTTATTTTTTTGAGACAGACTCTTGCTCTCGCCCAGGCTAGAGTGCAGTGGTGCGATCTTGGCCCACTGCAACTCCATCTCCCAGGTTCAAGTGATTCTTCTGCTTCAGCCTCCCAAGTAGCTGGGACTACAGGTGCGCAGCACCACGCTGAGCTAATTTTTGTTATTTTTAGTAGGGATGAGTTTCACTGTATTGGTCAGGCTGGTCTTGAACTCCTGACCTCAAGTGATCCACCCGCCTCAATCTTTCAAAGTACTGGGCTTACAGGCATGAGGCACCATGCCCGGCCTGCATCTCTTTAAAAATATAAACATAACCACAATGTTACCTGGCTATAATCACACCTCACAAAATGAATAGTGGTTTCTTAATACCCAGTCCATATTCTGATGACCCCACTTGTCTCAAAAATGTCTTTTGAAAGTTAATTTGTTGTCTCTCTCAAGTGTCTAATCTAAAGCAGTCTCCTCTTCCTTGCGCCTCCTTTTTTTTTTTTTTTTTTTTGAGATGGAATCTTACTCTGCTGCCCAGCCAGGTTGGAGTGCAATGGTGCGTTCTTGGCTCAATGCAACCTCCGCCTCCTGGGTTCAGATAATTCTCCTGCCTCAGTCTTCCAAGTAGCTGGGACTACAGGCGTCTGCCACCACTCCCGGCTAACTTTTGTATTTTTAGTAGAGATGGGGGGGTTTCACCGTGTTGGTCAGGCTGGTCTCGAACTCCTGACCTTCTGATCTGCCTATCTCAGCCTCCCAAAGTGCTGGGATTACAGGCATGAGCCACTGTGCCTGACCCCTCTCACCTTTTTTTTTTTTTTGAGACGGAGT